CCCCAAAACCCCAAAACCCCAAAACCCCAAAACCCCAGTTTACTAAATATTATGATTTAGTCAAAAAAATATTTAAAATAATAAAATATTGATAATAATATTCAGGAATCGTTGTAGTCTTGTAGCCTTACTTCAGTATTAACTGTTAAAATCTGAGGGTCCTAAATAAGTTTCAACGTACTCACTTTTCGAGAATAAAGAACTCTTCGAAATAATTCACCAAGTATGTGATAAATCTCTGAAATTAATTTTTCATCCTTAGACCTTATCTTGCTGAAGAGAGACATGCCGTAGTTAAAATTCTCGAGCTCCTTCTTGTAATCTTCTAGTATGTCAGCTATATCTGCATACGCTAGTATCTTATCCACTATTTTATTGCTCTGATTTCTTGCCCTTAAGTAGAAATTCTATGTTTTTGCTTCTTCGAGTTGAGCAATTATTAATAGGAATTGTGACTTCCCATTATTTTTTTTCCCTCGGTTAAGTATATTACTATTGAATGTTTTAATCCTTTTTTAAGGGCTCTGAAATCGGTAGTAGGGAACTTATTTGTTTGATTGATTTATACAAAAAGTCTAGATCTTTTAGGAATCTTAACCTTAACTACTTTGTGTTTCTTGGCTCTAAAACTGTCTTCTTCAAAATCTTAGGTCTCAACCAAAGTCTCATTTGTTTGATTTAAGCTTGTTTTACCTTCTTTGGAGTTATTAGTCAAACTTACTAATAGAGTTGATTGCTTGGAACTCAAGAATATTAAACAATCTAAGCTTCTTAGGATTGCTTTTTTAATCCCTTGCTCTGATTACAAAATTAGGAAGACTCTTAGCTATATTACATTCTCTATGGAGCTCTATCTAAGAGAGGAAATCCACAGTCATGCAACTGATCGATGCTCTTGATAACTTGTCATCGTAAAGTTGGTTTATAGTATTAAATATATATTAATATATTAAGAATAGTACAAACTCTCTAGCCTCAATATATTAAAGTCAAAGACCTGAATAAAATCAGAAAATATTGCATCCACAGCAGCTTACACAGCATCCGCAAACTGTTTTGAATTCTTAATAAATGTTACAAGTCATCTATTTTCCATCTTAAACAATGTCCTTGATAGGTGTGCTATCAAGAGAAGATTTGTCATAAATTTTCCCATCAATCTAAAAGTTTCTGAACTCCATTTTGAAATCTTTCAATTAGCCTGCTGCTTGAGCTTTTAGAACTTTCTCGTTACAGTACTTCTCAAAATCTCTAGCAATGTCGCCTAAAGTTAGAGTATTTTGATGCAACACTGGAACATACTTCCTATATTTTGACAGTTATAAACCATATTAATTCCATTACAAAATTTTAATTTTCCGAAAAAATTTCAACAAACTTACCACACGATTAGTCTGCCGTTGTCTGGATTCTTAGCTTTGTGTTTATCCTTCGTAACATTTTTTGAGGCTTTTGGCAATACAATGAAATCCATAGCAATAGCTCCCTTTGTCATACACATTTTATTTTCTCTTGTTATTTAATATTTCTAAATAAATTTTAATTGAGTATAAAATAAGTAAAAGACATCGAATTCTTCTATAAATAGCATTTTAATCTATATTCACCTATAATCAACTGAATGGGGTTTTGGGGTTTTGGGG